CTAAGATCAAACCCACGACTCACAGTTCCTACCTTGCGTACTCTGATCTTGAACCACTCGGCCACCCTGCCGTCCCTCTCGGTCCCTGTTCTATTTGACTCTTTCATCCTGCCGTATTGTAATGGTATAGACTCCAGTTCTAAAGAATATTTAGTAATCGAAATTGTTAAAGTAAAAAAAATTATTAGAATTTTTTGTAAGACTCAATTATTCAGATTATTTTCATTAATAGCAAATTGTTTAATTCAGGATTATCACGCTCATATTTTTGTAGGTGAACTTTACGTTTTGTGGGAGGTTCTGCACCTATGTGCGATAGTTCTCACGTTGTTTATAGTTTTTTTCAAGAAAGGAGAGACACGAGCGGGCAATGTTAGATAGCACCGGACAAGAGACGAATGACGCCGTGTTGCTGAAATGATCAATCATAAGGATTGCCTTACTACGAACCAAAAATGCAACTCGTGTAAAGACAGACGGTGCTGAAGTGTCCTTTGATGACGTGAATTATTTCTTTGTGAATCCTTCGTGCTGAATTACGAATTGAATCAACTCTATGTAAGATTGCACCTCTTTGAATATTAAGAGAGCTTAATAGACGTAATTAGCCGCGGTGCTGATCCCGTTGAATCCCCATCACCCGTAACGGTCCCGGCTCATCAAATGAAATCATCGCGATTGTAGGCAGAGTGGAATATTTACTTGAAAATTTTTCATTGAAAGAAAACCGCATCTATAAGACTATACCTATTTGTCATTGTATGATTTAGCGGCTAGCATCTGAACCACTCTGGAGACGTCAAGATAACCCATGTAAGTTAAATAGAGCATTTGAGACAATTGCTGTATTATAAAGACAATTGCTGCAGGGTGTAGATCTTCCGTGTGATTGAATAGAACGATTATTGTTATTTATTATATTGAATTATCTTTTATTGCAATAAATGTTTATTTACTGAGGCCTTACTATAACCTTTGGTTTCAGCGTATTTTGTTCATGATTATGACTTCATAACTTGCACCATGATCACCAGGCTGGTGATCTGAACCAGGCTGGTGTTAGATTATCTCGCCAACGCAATGCATAGTAGACTAACTATTATGGTCAGTACATGGTAGTGGTTCCCCGCTACATGTATAATGTAATAAGATCGCAGTTTCATAATATGCTGACTCGACCCAGTTTGAATGTGTTACCTAATTTCCAGATTTCCTCAGTTTTCAGCGTGCTTGAAATTTGAGAATTTGTCCCACATTACAATCCCTTATTTATTACAATCCCTTTACAATCACCTTTTTACAATCATTTATTACAATCCCTTTCCTGACATGATTGTTTTTGATACCTTGGTTACGAATTTCTTCGTTCCACAAGACATTCAATTTGATATTATTGAGAACGATCACTGCGTACATAAATGATTGGTCTAAATCCCAGCGGTTAGACCGACTTGAACTTTCGAACTTTTATTTTAATTTCAAAGCCATTTCTGAGGGGAAGGAAAGGAATTACAAACTTTTCAATGATACAATTTTTTTCCTTTGCAAATTTAGTAGGTGATCGGATGTCGAAAGCGCCTTAGAAAGAAACACACAATCTCAGTTTGTTTCCGTTTACACGCTGCTCTTTGTTAATAACTTTCACGTGTGCTTGCTCTTCAGTTTCTTTGTGTTTAAGATATTGACTCTTCATCAAGTTCATCGTGAATATTGAGAATTTGTTTCGGACATTATTTCAGTGTCGATTACCGTAAAAAATAAGATATTAGTTACGACCACGCAGTTGGTATTTTCATCGGGGCTTTAATAGGAAAATCTTACGCTCAAATTATGTGATTTGATTAATATGAATTATTAATCCTGAATTATTAATCCCCAAAACAGCGTTGTCCCCGCTGTTTTGTGCAAGAACATTCGGATTTATTTGATTGGTTTAAATGATTTTGTCATGTATCGAAATAAAGCACTGATAAGCACTGATATATCCATCAACCATTTACCATAACTATGTATAGACACGGATAATTTTTACCAAACGATGCATTTGTTTGCGGGGTTCATTTTCGATCCAAGTGGACATTGGAATTCAGAAGAGAACTCGGCCATGTTGCTCATGGGCCCGATGACGCGGAACTGGTGTGGCGAGTGAGGGTCGACCAATATCTGTAGAGTAGCAGAGGGCAATGCTTGTTAAAATCCGGAAACGATGTACATCAATGTGCATTTCAACACGAATGAAAAATATTCAATGTTTACAGAAAGCGAATCAATTTTTGTAGGATACGATCTCCATCAATGTGCATTTTAACACCACATTCAACGTTTCCAGAATCCGAATCAATGTTTGTCGATGTTAATCAGAATCAATGATTTTAATTTCCATAGAAATCGATGATATATCATAGAAAAGTAATTAATTGAATCTAAATTCAATAACATAAAATATTAATTTCGGAGTTACCGATCTGATTTTCGGAGTTACCGCTCTGTTTCAAGATGAAATATTAATTTCCATGAAACAAGCTTTTGCGGAGCTACCGCTTTGATGCCTACACCCATAATAATGGAGTAATCTTAAATGTATTCATAACTAAATTGGGAGATGTTTCAACGTCATTGACGATCCAAAGACCTGGGGCCATACTTCCAAAATTCGCTAAGTGAACGTAAGTACTTACGCTCTATTTTCTTGTCTATGATTGGTGGATTTTGCTTGAAAGGCCGTCAATGATTGGCTGATGAACTTACGATCTCTTAACTTTTTTTGAAAGTATAAGACCTGGTTAAGAAGTCCCTCGTCGGTGATGGAGGTGCACCAGACGTTGGCGTTGCTCAGGAAGAATATTTGATTGGGTGAGAACTGCTCGAGCCCTGGCAGGAGAGGCTCGACTCCGTGGTCCTGCACGTACAGTTGGTAGGCCAAGTAGGCCTCACGTAGGCCGCCGTTGTCTGCGATGTTCTCACCCTGCACATGAAGTAGGAATGAGTGCGGTGCGAAGGAATTAAAAAATAAATATCAATTGAGGAATCAGGATGGGAAATGAGAAAACGCGATAAGAAATATAGGATAAGTTAAAGTAAGGTAAAAAATTATGTACAGTATCGATAAAGGAATATTGAATTATAATACATCAACTTTTCCGCTAAATGCCGTAGCGTTTACTAAATTTGCCTTTCTCGTAACAATCATTCCGATTGCACTGTCCAGTCAACCTCGAGTGCTATGAATACTATATATAGGCGCCTATCAGGAATACCCGTAATAACTTTATAATTAATATTAAAGGGAGCGTCTTGGGACAACTTTATCTCGGTTATTTACAGACGGATCGATTCGAAATTTGGTACACGTATGTAAAACGGAATTCTAAGACTTTTTTCGCGTGAATTTTTCGAAAAAAATGAAAGAAAACGTGGAATTCTTAGAAAGCGGCCAAAAAGGAGGTACTTTAGAACCTAGGATTTTCAAGCTACAACATCGAGACACATATCATTCGATGCGTAAGAACCATATCTAAAAACTTCACTTGGCAGTTTTTTGGATTTCTATTTTTTGTGGGTGTGGGAGCATTTTTTCCGATATTTTTCGAAATTTTTCGATTTTACCCCGCCCTCCCCCACCTTTTGCAAAATAAAATCCGAACTATAACGTAATTGGAAAAACGACCACGTGACGTTCGTAGATCTTTCCTTTCCTAATCGAATGGTGTCATTGATGTAGCTTCAAAACTGTAGGAGGAGATAGGATTGACGTGAGAGAGGTTTTCAGCTTTGACAACTTTTCAGCAGAGGCAAAAAACCACCGCGCGGCACGTAACGTAGCCTAGATACCAAAAGTAAGCATCAACTCACTTCAAAGTCAGTCATCGGTGCATGGAGCCACTAAATGAACGCCATCCCGCGTGCTGTCTGTGAGGTTACTGAGCTCTAGCCGAGTGAAGTGCACATTTTATAGTTTATTTCCCACTTTGGAATTTTTGAAAGTCCCCCACCCCTTTCCCCCTTCTGTCGTGAACACATAAATCAACGTACATCGATGGTTCTAGTGCCGTTCGATGCATCAGAAAGTAAGCTTTAAGATGAGCCTAAAAACCGGAAAAGCCAAAATTTCGACCTTTGGACCTAGACGCTCCCCTTAAATCTTTATGAAATATATGCCAGTAAATAATAAAATTAACAGGAATGCTGAATTTTAATCCGCACAGTAACTCAAAACAACTCAGTGAACAAGAAAGCACGGTACTCTCATGCTGCCTCAAACAGCAGTCAATATGCAACTCGTGTTACCAATAATTGATATATTACCATACAAACGTCTACCTAAAAGCTCTTCCCTAAGTAATGTGGTAGAATGTCTATTGTTCATGAGCTCGACTCCATGAGAGCAACAGATGACTGTGAGAAAACTAAAAGCTAATTTTTTGTCAGAAGTTTTTACTAAAATTCTATACTCATGCAGGTCGTATTTTTGCTAAAAGAACAGAAAGAAAAAGCAATCTCATTCTCACGCTCAACCAACAACCGCAGCATCATTGCCCGGTGCAACTGAAGTACCGCGGACATGCACATTTTGATAGCATACTGCAATGGACATATGCACTTACTAATATTATAATAAATAATATCAGCATCTAACCTTGATAGCATACTGCAATGCACTCGCTAATATTACAATACTAAATATCCGCATATAATTCATGCTATAATACTAGACAAGATCGACTAACCTGCGTATTAATCCCATTGACATGCGCCCCAGGAAGTAGGTAGTCGATCTCAGGCACGGTGTAGCTCTCGTACTGATCTATGACGCACTGCGCCTTCTCCTTGAACGCCTGCTGCGTCGCGTTTGACCACCACGGGATGGCGTTACCGTCTTTGTCGTACTGGCTTCCCTGGTCGTCGAAGCCATGCGTGATTTCGTGGCCCATCACCTGCAATACAATGAATAGCAATAATACGAGTGTCGTATATTGTACAATGAAATACAAATTCAAGCATGATTTAGATTACGATCCTTTTAACTTTCACTGCCACTCTGCGGTTCAATATGACTAAGAGAATCTTACTTAAGTTGGCAGGTCTAATAAACGCTCCACAAGTAAAACGCAAAAGTTGGCATCGCTGCAATATCTCAGTTAATAGAGGTTAACTCACCTGCCCAATAGCACCATAGTTGATGGCCTGTAGGGTGTTGGCGCGGTAGAAAACAGGCTGTAAGATACCGGCCGGGAAGGTGATGGAGTTGAACTCCGGCTCGTAGTAGGCGTTGACTGTTGTGGGGGACATGAACCATTGCTGCTTGTCTGTGGGAGCACCCAGGTCATCCAGTTCTGTGCTGCTCCACCACAACCTGTGTATTCAGTTGAAGAAAAAGTTTACATTTTTGCGATAAATGCAAAAGCCCGTATGATGAGAGAAAGACAATAGCAGTGACACGTTTCGATGACACCAATGGCCAATTAGACGTCAGCCCTCAACCGTTCTCAAAAACTCAAAATTCGGGTGACATGTTTAAGACCATGTGAACAAGTGGAATGTGCAATTGTGGACTTTGCAATTACCTGGCAGCTTTGATGTTTTCAAAATGGGATGAAGAGGCAGTTATGCCTGTCAGAAGGACATAGTAATCCTCCAGGCCATTGGGTTCTTCATACCAATCCGGGTAACCGATGAACTTGTTGATGGCGTCAGCTTTTTCTAAAGCCAGAGGTTTGGTTTCATCATCCATCCATTCGTTGACCGTAAGCAGGTCCTTGAAGGCGGTTCTCAAATCCTCAACGAGATAATTAGACTCATTTTTGGCTTGAGCCGAAAAGTACTGCGCCACGTATTTGTAACCAACGGCCATGCCCATCAAAGAGTTAGTCTCATCGGCACAAACATCAGTTCGAGATCGCTGGACAGAGACTCCACTTGCCACTTTGTTATACTGGAAGGACGCATCTCTCATGGCTGCGTTTGTGTCGTCTCCTAAATCCTTCACAAACCTCCACAGTAAATAGTTGGCAACGACCCTTTGATCTGTGACTGCTAAAAGATCCCCAAGCTTTTGGATGTACTCAATCTCTTGAACGATGATTCTTGACGAACTTTCTAGTGTAATCCCAACATTCGCGAACATGAAGTTGAGCACAGACAACCAGGAGACCGTAAATCCTGTCATTAGACCATCCAAATCAGCAATGGTCATTGGATTGTACATTCTCTCGATGTCTCTTCTATCTTCACTCGGTGTTGTGATCGCAGCCAATTCTACCTCGAATGCCACCAAGTCTTCCACTTGCTGATCCAAAGCAGCTTCATCGACGGTTTCACCCAAATCAGCGGCGATTATTTGAGCTGTTGTTTTTATGTAGGTTTTGTATGCTTGGAAACGCTCTTCGTAGTTGCTTTGATCGGTCAAAACAGATCTCGGCATGCCAAGGCTGGTCTGGTCTAAATACAGAGCAGTTTCAGATGTTGACTTCTCATCTGCGAAGACCCAGACATCCAACAATGTGCTGTAGCCGTAATCTCGTCTTCCGTATGCCACTGTAAATTCCCAATTAAATAGCGCAGAAACCCAAGATCCACTGGCCATTGGCCATCCTCCGTTTTCGGCCAGGATGTCTGTTAAAGGAGTTGTCCCTGCAGACTCGATGGCAGCTTCGTCGATGCACTGGGCGTAGAGCCACTTCGCTTGGTTGATGGGTGCCGGCTCTTGTACGTCAACAGGTTCAACCAAGATCTTACTGATGGCATTGCTCAGTTGGTCATCCAGGACACTGAATTGAGACCAGCTGGACGATGAATCTGGAACTGGATTTTTGGCCGCCCAGCCACCACAAGCGAACTGGTAGAAGTCATCGCAAGGATCAACGGTTAGGTCGAGTGCTTCTATGATGGCAGCTGCAGACAACGTGCATTCCGGAGTAGTACAAACTTCAACAGCCCGACCGTTTATGTTCTTCTTGACCGAGGGCAGCGGTTTGTAGTCTGATCCTTGCCTGTAATTATGCACATAGAGGATTTTAACTGCAATTTATGACAATAAGCCAGCAAGCTAAAGCTAACACATTCATTTATGTCACCAAAATCATAATATATCAAAATCCAGAACTTCTATAATGTATAAACTCACATAATGCATGGTAATCGTTTAAGACTGATTGTTCAACTGATCTTTAGAAAAAAATACCAGCGTATTGCATTAATTTTTTTTTTTTTCAATGCTCCATAAATCGTGATGTGACCAATCATATGAAACGTATTATCCAAATTAATGATCTCTCGGTAATTATTGTTAACTGTTTATCTCACTCACTTTTTAGGCGCTGCGGCAGCGAGGGTGGCCGCAAGCAACACCATCAACACACTCGCACTCACAACCCTCATGTTTTGTAGACCAATTAAACTTCTTATCTGTTATAGTTGGCAGAAAATATTAGTAATCAAGTTCAGTTCGATTTCTCTCTTGTCTCGAATTAACTCAAGATATTTCTGGAGCTCATTTTTCGTACGTATGATGCAGTGCTTACAATGAATCATTCATGAATTGAATTTATTTAAGAAAAGGTTGCGTTATGATCAATTCCTTCATGCACATGCGGTCACTAAATGGATCATATATGAAAGTAATATCTTTATTTTTAATGATACCGAGTTCATCGGTCACTGGGAATGATTATATAATAAAATAATGCGTGATCATGCGTGTGTCTGGTGTTAAAAATACATTATTCCCCTTCCTTCAGTACAACGAGCAATCCATTCAAGAGTGCCATGCGATTTTCATATAGGTTTAGAACTAAGAATCCGGATTACTAAGACAAATATTAACGGACCACGTGAAACCTTTGCATGCTTTGAATTCACATGGCGAGAAAAAACATACTTCATCTTCATGAATTGTAAGAAGAATTATTGTGAACAATCAACAGAGTATAATTTTGGTGAAAGTTTCTTAAATTTGATTACTTAGCTACGTATATGACTGAAAATCTTCTTCATCCATGAATTTCTATGACTTAAAAACTGTAGAAAAATTATAAGATTTCAGACGGTTTTCGAAAACTATGATAATTTGCCAGAGCCTGTATTTAGATCGCTGATATCGTCAGCGCAAATCGTTTTGTTATGCAATCGAATCATCGATGTTTCTCGTTTATGCCACTGACTTTATTATCAACAGTATTCATACTAATGATCTTGTTATATAAATAATTGAAGCCATTCAAATTATGATATTTTATGATGTATATATCGGAGATAATAATTATTGCTCTAAAGTATAGTTATTCATAAACGATGATGAGACACGTTCAGCTATATTCAACTTGATCAAATATAAAAGATAAATTCTTAATTCCTCGACATTTCAATCGTGGCGAATAACTGATCTTTTTATTTGAGGATCCCTAAACGGGGAAACGGATCAAGCAATGCACATGGATTAATTCATGTGCAATGCGCATAGATAATAGTTATGAAGAATTTATCATGGGGAAAATCTACGGAGGCATCTGAAATATCTAGCCACCAACTCACGGCTGCCCTTTTCTGCAGGCACAGCGAGCGCAGGTTGCCGTCTTGCTAAGATAAGAGAGCCTCTTGAGGAGCATTTATACGACGTCGTCCTGAGAACCCAGCACCTGATGAGAGGCCCCCTCTGCCGTCGTGTACCTAACTCATGCCAAATTCTACATGCAGACACTGGGTTGCGAAAATAGGATTTGGTTAATCTTTTAAATAAATTATTGTACGAGTAAATTTTGACCTTTTGACCATGCTATTCCCTTAGCTCGTCGTTGATATTAACTGTTGAAAATACTAAAATCCACACCAATTCAAATACTATTTGCATCCGATAAAGTTTGGTTCTCATTGTTTTTGTTTACTGACATCGACAATTTTGGTATCCATTTACTCACTTATTCATTTTATACAATTATTTTTTTATTTTACCTCAGCTGCACATCTACGATTTTCTCCCCCAAAATGGTCTGTAGATTACTTTATAATATGAGTTTTATCATTCAGTGAAGATGATGATGTAGATGAAGCATAAATGCTCTCTTCATTACAGGCCCTTGATGGTTAATAATGATGCAAAATGTTCGCACAACTTTTTAAAAATTCAAGCATCATAAAATTGCGCACCTGCGATGTTGTTTTGCGTGCTTATTCCATAAAAATAAATTCATTTTTCTGTATGCAAATAAAAAGCCACAAATACGATAATTGTCGTCATACATCGTTCATAACGACAGACTGTCTTATCAGTAAACTAAACTTATCGACAAATCGCCGTGGTAAGTCCACCTCTTATCGACATGATAAGGCAGACCACTTGAGACTGGCACGGTCCTAACATGACTATAGGCATGTGCACACACTCATATCAACCCAGCAGTGATTTCAACACGAAAACATGTTTTAAAAAATAAAACTCAGTACTCACCGCAGTGAGTGACAGAGAGCGCATTTTCTCGTCGACGAAAACGAGAAGTCATGGATGGACAGACAGACGGACGGACGGACATGGCGAGCACGCAATAGGACATTTTTTCCATAAATGAGAAATTGCGCTAAAAATTACTGGTATAAGAGACCACATTTGAACATTTACGATCGTACAGAGAAGAACAGTATTATTCAAACCTTTTTTAAAACCTGAAAAGTTTTAATAAATTTTCTTCGGATGCACAAGACTGGTTAGGAAAGTTGTACGCTAATCGCAGGAAGAAAGCAGTTCGAGCTCTTTTCTCTCTAGTGTATTTTTAAATATATGTTTAGACATTCATTAACACTTCGTCATGGGTTCACGAATATCATCATTGTAATCTAAAGCTCCGGTATTATTGGCTTATGATATGGCTTATGATGTCCACTTTGCTTCACAATATCGATACAATACATCCTATATCAATTGCTGGCCTGCCGTATTGAACCACAAGGCTGAAACACGACGTCGTGCACTCACTCACATCATTACTTTGACGTCACCGAAAGGATAATTTGAATAAAATGTCTTCCATTTCATCATATCCGTGTTTTTTAGACGACATTACTGTATATTAACAATGTTCATATTATTTAATCCCATAAATTAATATTACATGAGTTACCCTCACAAAATTTAGAGTCGCCCCAGCTTCTGGTAATCCAAATCAGAAGCTGCCGCGTCTGTAAATTTTCCGTGGCTACTGGATAACCTAAGCTATCGGTCACTTCACGAGTCGAGCTAAGAGAGCGACAAAAAGTCAGGGGAGATTCACCAGCATTACATTCTTTCGAACTCTCAATTCATGATCAGCTACGCGCTGGCCGCGATTTAGAGTTTTTTTTTTAGACCGAGTATGTTATAAATTGAAAGAAAAATGACAATATTTTAACTGAGCGAAGCAGATGTAAGTGATGGCACGAGCACAAAACACTGGTTAAAATAATTGAGTAGAAACACAATCAGGATGTAAGAAGTCGATTTATATAGGCCAGACTGAATCAGAAGGAGCAGTTTCCAAACTAGCGATAAATTCTAGGTCTTGTAAATGAATTCGGGAAGGCAGTGAAAGCGAAGGAAAATCTCAAGTATTCACGAAAAACAGTAGTGCGAAATTCACAACTCAAACTTAATTATACTCTAGGCAAAGTTACAATCCAACAATAATAATTCTTTAATATTTTCAAGAATTTTATTCATTTCTTGGGCCACCATAAAATCGAACCCTTCCAATATTGAGGCCTGGGAAGCTCCACACCTGGACACTGTTCCAATAATTGAGGTTATGTAGCATTTCATAATTTCAATTTAGTTTATACACGTGTCGTAAACGAATACATTGTCCAATAAAGCTTCAGTTGCATTACACCAGTTCCATTTTTGCTGTAGTTTCGACCATGAAATGCACTTTTTTTAATATCTTGAGATTTTCCTCAGCCAGACAAGGCCAAAAAACTGAACCTGCAGTCAAAATTTCAACTGTGATTTTTAATTTTTATGTGGAATGATTTATCTTTTCGGAAAATATTGGTGTTTAAAAGAACCGTTTTGAAGCATTAGTGTGAACCCGATTCTTTTCCATGTATGTTTAATGGTGTGTTCTTTTGGTGTTTACTTGAAGGACTTCGCAGCATTTTTAAATGAAAAGTATTCTTCTAAATGGGCTGCCCCTCGCAGGTCTAGAAGGGCTGCGTCTCGCAGATCTAAAGAGGCTGCGCCTCGCAGATCTAGAGGGGCTGCGCCTCGATGAATTGATGAAACAGAAAAATATTTTTAAAATAATAAATTATTGCACATTAACAGAAGCTTTAAACAAATAACGACGTATTTGGTTCCACTCAAACTTGGTGAAAACAATCCAAATTTTCCAAGAATTTTCCCTCGCCGATTATTTTGTATTGAAACGACTTATCTTCTTGAGTCTTGGTTATTTGTTTGCTAAAATCGGAAATGACACAAGAAAGATAAAAGCAAAGAGCATTCAAGTAAATTCCCACTAGTTCACGAAATTTCAGGGCTAACAAAATGAAAATTACGCTAATTGTCATGGGAACAAAGATCACGGAGAACTTCATGATTACGGAGAACTTCATGATCACGGAGAACTTCGTGGTCACGGAGAACTTCATGATCACGCAGAACTTCATGATCAAGGAGAACTTCATGATCAAGGAGAACTTCATGATCACGGAGAACTTCGTGATCACGGAGAACTTCATGATCACGGAGAATTTCATGATCACGGAGAACTTCAGAGAACTTCATGATCACGGAGAACTTCATGATCACAGAGAACTTCATGATCACGGAGAACTTCATGATCACGGAGAACTTCGTGATCACGGAGGACTTCATGTTTGACTCTCATGCAAGATGTTCACTATGTCGTGGCGCTTTTTTTTGCTCGGAAAATTTTTCCTAGAAATCTATTTTTGATAAGTGGAGTGATATGTGGTTTGATTTTGAGAAATGTGCTTTTTGAGATGAAAAACATGAACGATTGAACCACAAGCGTCTGAACACGAAAATTCTTACAATTTACAATAAAATTAACAGCGGTCTTGAGGGCAACTCTCATTACCAATAATTAAGACTTGATTAACATTGACTACGTTCAAGATAGTGAGAAAATGGCAGAAAAAATTGTTCCGTTGATTATAGAGTGCAATATTTAGTGTATTCCACTATTGGTAGATATTGGGTGAGCAGGGTGGCCCAGTGGTTACAGTTCAGAGTACCAAGATTGGCGCACTAGAGAGGCGCGGGTTCGATCCCAGCGCCAGTTTCTGGGATCGGCGAGGAGGCCGGGCGGTTAAGCACAGCAGAATTGTAGCAGTGAGTTGCGAGTTCAAGCCCGCAAAATTCTGTAAATGTTCTGCGATATTAAGAATCGGCGACAGGCCTACGGCCTAATAAACGCTGAAACCGCTATTTTTATTATAATTTCACCCACCGTCCCCCAGTAGGGCAACCCCATGGCCATCTTCGAACCATCAACCCAGCGCCACTGTCCCTGCACGGCTAGGTCTGAGCCGCCAATCCACAGTGCGCTTAGATTCCAATCTTTTGAAGGCAAGAAAATACAATGCATTTGAAATAAGATAATGAATTATAATTATAGTATATATATAATTATAATTTATGATAATATATAATTCATTGATTCATTCATTTATAATAATATAATTATATGACTATATTATTCTAAATCTTAGCAATTTTGAATCATGGCATGATACATACTGTAAATTCTTAGTTTATTTAGTAAAGAAATAACATACTATCGAGACATCTGATTCCTGAAGCCATTTAGGTACGTCAGATAAATGAAAATAAAACAATTTAATTTGAAAAAATGGGTTCCCCACAATAACAGAGCGGCGTTAGTATACTTCTAATAATCTCCACTTCATCCGTAATTGCAAAAAAGTCAGATCAAATTTAAGAAACTCGAATACCTATGTACATATGTTATCAACATTTATCAATCAAAATTGTCATGTGTTTTGTCACCTATACGCTGCTGGAAGTAGAGGAACAGTTTCCTGTACTTGTCGTAGTCATCTAGAATGACCAAGTCTCCACCGACCAATCCACACTGAGTGCGCGCGTCAGTCCAGTTGTGTTCTTTGAGAATTACGTGAACGCACTGCGTGCCCACCAAACCAAACGGATGTGCGCACAAGCCTGCGAAGAAATGAAAATTAATGTGATATGGAACTGCATTAATTAATGTGTTACTGCTAATTTGTATACCTTTAGTAGCTGGATAGATATACGACTGAGAACTGCTACTTTCTTCGTGCTGAATGTTATTTAAACAGAATTCCTCACCATTCACTGGATTTCTCGAGCACACAGGATTCCAGTTGGTGTTACATGGTAAGTCATGGACCGCCCAGTCCCGAGAGGAATAGATCCCGGCACAGTCCTCCGTTCTCCCGCCATTGGGTTCAAATATCCCTTTCGATGGAGCATTCTGAGGAAGCATGAGAATTCGCTAATAAATTAGGCAAGTCATGCTATCGTGAAGTGAAACGAATCACCGAAACTCGCGGTTCACGTGTAACCTGAAACACCACCACGAAATTGAAATAATTGCGGGTAGCGTGCCAACTTAGTGGAGACTTTCGTACTGATTCTAAACACAAAGGCTAAACAATCGCTCTTTGGTCCGACTCTAAATTCCCTTGCGTTGGAGAGAGTAGGAATGAACACAAGGAATTTTTCGTAGTATACTGGTAATCTTCAGGCGAATTACAAGATTCTTCATACGAGGGCGCACAATTTATTATTCGTCTTAGTCCAAAACTTCACTGAAAAAGGATTGACACTTCAGGGGTACAAACAGCCGAGAAACCACACAGTATGAGCCCTAATACACAGCTGGGAGTAACAAAATGGAAGGCAAAGGGTATGGTAACTAGCCGCACCGAGATGTCAACGACCAGCCGCAGAGACTAGGAGTTCTAGCCCTAATACACTGCAAAGAATCACATAGATGGATAGCAAATGGTACGGGAACTAGCCGCACCGAGATGTCAACGACGAGCTGCAGAGACTAGGGGTTCTTGCCCTAGTTAGTACACTGCCAAATTCCGATTACTCCCGAGCGTGGAAGGTATTAACTTTCACGACACGGGAGACGCGAACGGTACCAGAACGCTGACAAATATACTCGAGTTTATTCTCGTACAACAGTAAATCATTACGATTATCACAATAAAAACAAAGTCGTTTGACCAAATTATTGCACGTTAAAACGAATAAATCCTAGGTCAAGTAATAATTTACAATTAACATACTGTATCATAGAAATTAGTCTAAACGTGGTCGGGGCTAGAAGACGACGAGTGGTGCTTAGCAGACGATTGCAACGCAACGCTACCGACAGGTAATATCACAGCAAAGGAGATTCCTCGTTACAGTCACGAAATAAAAATATGCCTACGCATTTCTTAGTCATACATAAATTAAATCCTTGAGTTAACAAAAAAAAAAAACATCACACAATATGCATCCCGTCACATACGGCATCTGGCGCATAATGCATATTCGAATGTTTGATATGCTAAAATGTTTATTTTCAAAGCCAGGTACTGCGGACATCGTAGTCGCCTTTTACCATTGTTCACTTAGGGGCGCAGATGTAGGCCACAATTTCTACTCTAAAATCAGTCCTTGAGTCACCCAGCCTCAGCACGGGACTGAAACCGCAGACAACGTTGGAACACCGGAAACCCGATCAGTTCCAGACGGTTTACAGCAAAAAAAACTCCAAACCCAGAACTTAATTAAGCACGTGCGCTCCAAAGCAACTAGTTCTGCGTTTGGTCTAACATACTTATTCCGCCCAAACTCTTCACCTTCTTGCAGCAAATGCTCTAACTGTGGACTAGCCTTGCCTTGCCACATTCCGTAGCTAATGAACTGTCTGTAATGAGGTTAGTTCTGGTCAGGTTTGTCTAAGGTGGAAAATCGGGCTACGTAAATATGTTAGGTCAGATGCATTTCTGCCTGCTTAAGAACGAATTTTGTGAAGTAGGGTTTGTGAACTTGCGTGGTATATGCACTTTTTAATGGAATTGAAAATTACATTTTAAATTGCCCTACAATTTTGACCTCATAGACGACAGTGCCCAGTAGTTTGCTGGCCTACACAAGAGAATAGAAACCAAAGTGCAGAGCTAGGAAAAGCTGGCCTCAGGCATGTGCCCCGGTAAATTTTTATTTTATCTAGAAAAATTATCAAAATACTGAGCCTGTAGTAAACGTAACCTAAAATAAATTATATGTATATTATTCTCCATCATATTATCCCTAATTCAAATGACACAATTCGTCACTCACGTAAGCCCAGAAAGGAGCGCCCATCTGCACAGCCGAGCCGTCGCTCCACTGCCAGACGTGCGTAGCAGTTGAATTGGTCGCGCCTAACCAGTAGCCGTTCTTCGTGTTTGATGAATCTGATGGAAAATTCGTTTAACGATTTAGACTACTACGAGTCAAAATACTGTACAAATGCTGTATTACGTTTTACTACTCATTACACAGCAAGCGCGAGTTGAACACGATGTTCTTTGAAAGTAAACCAGAGTTAAATAGGCAACACATAGAGAGTATCCTCACACCCGAAGAAATACATTATTCCCCTTTCTTCAGTACAACGAGCAATCCGTTCAAGAGTGCCATGCGATTTTCATATAGGTTTAGAACTAAGAATCCGGATTAATAAGACAAATATTGACGGACCACGTGAAACCAATGCATATTTTGAATTCGCACGGCGAGAAAAAAACTAATACTGCATCTTTATGAATTGTAAGAAGAATTATTGTGAACAATCAACAGGGTATAATATTAGTGAAAGTTACTTGAAGTTGATACCTAGCTACGTCTATGACTGAAAAACTTCTTCATCCATGAATTTCTATGACTTAGAAACTCGTAAAAAAATTAGAAGATTTCAGACTGTTTTCGAAAACTATGATAATTTGCCAGAGCCTGTATTTAGATCACTGATATCGTCAGCGAAAATCATTTCGTTATGCAATCGAATCATCGATGTTTCTCGTTTATGCCACCTACTTTAACAGTACTCATACCAATAATCTTGTTACATAAATTTTTCAAAATATTAAAATTATAATATTTTATGAGGCATATATCGGAGATAAAAATCATTGCTCTGATATATACTTATTCATAAACGATGATTATACTTGTTCATCAATATTCAATTTGATGAAATATACAAGATCAATTCTCAATTCCTCAACATTGACATCTTGGCGAATAATTAATCTTTTTATGCAAAGATCCCTAAACTGGATATTGATCTTGTAATGTACACGGAGTAATAGTTATGATAAATGTATCATGGGGAAAATCTAAGTAGGCATCTGAAATATCTAGCCACCAACTCACATATGGCCCACGGTTGCCCTATTCTCCAGTTTCTTGTCTATGATTGGTGGATTTTGCTTGAAAGGCCGTCAATGATTGGCTGATGAACTTACGATCTCTTAACTTTTCTTGAAAATATGGACCCTGGGCCCATACATAAAAAAAGTTAAGAGATTCCTTTCAAGCAAAATTCACCAATCATAGACAAGAAAATAGAGCGTAAGTACTTATGTTCACTTAGCGAATTTTGAAAGTAAGGCCCCTGGCACAGCGAGCGCAGGACGCGGCCTTGCTAAGATAAGAGGACCTCTTGAGGAGCCCTTAATTATACGGCGACGCCCTGGGAACTCAGCACCTGCGACCCTCCCTATCATCGTGTACCTAATTCATGCTAAATTCTACATGCAGACACTGGGTCTCGAAAAAAGAATTCGGGTTCTCTTTTGTAAATAAATTATTGTACAAGTAACATTTTGACCAGAATTTGTGTGCAGCTTGCTATTCGTTTAGCTCTTCGTTGATATCAAACGTTGAAAATAATACAATCCACAGCACTCAAATACTTTTTACACGCGATTTAGTTTCTTAGTGTTTTTGTTTGTTTATTGACACCGACAATGTTGGTATCCATTTATTTACTTCTCATTTTGTATAATTGTTTTTTGATGTTACTTCAGCTGCAAATCTATACGATTTTCTATCCCAAATGGTCTATAGATTTTTTATAATATAAGTTTTACTACACAGTGAAGATGATGATGCAGATGAAGCATAAACCACTGCGATCTCTTTATTTCAGGCGCTTGATAGTTAATAATTATGCCCAATGATCACAACTCTAAAAATTCAGGCTTCATAACAACGCTCACCTGCAATGTTTCTTTGCGAGTTTATTTTATAAAATATACATTTATTTTCATATGCAAATAAAAAGCCTCATAATACAATAATTGTCGCCATATATCGTTCATAACGACAGACTATCTTATCGGTAAACGTATCGACAAATCGCCGTGGTAAGTCCACCTCTTATCGACATGATAGGACAGACCANGCAGACCACTTGAGACTGGCACGGTCCTAACATGACTGTAGGCATGTGTACCCACTCATATCAACCCAGCAGTGATTTCAACACGAAAACATGCTTGAATAAATTACTAGTAGGAGAGATCGCATTTGCACATTTTCGTACAAAGAACAACAGTGTTGTTTATTTAGCCTGAAAAGTTGTTATAATTTTTTTGTTGTTGTACACGATTGGTCAGGAAAACTGTACGCTAATCGCAGGGGGAAAGCATTTCGAGTTTTTTTTTGTCATGGTTCATGAATATCATCATTGTAATCTAAAGCTCCAGCATCATTGGCTAACGATGTCCACCTTGCTCCACAATATCTATGCTATACATCCTATACCAATTGCTGACCTGCCGCATTGAACTTCAAGGCTGAATCACGACGTCATATGAACCACTCACATCATTACTTTGACGTTCATGTGTATTTTAACGCTCAGTCATACAGTTATATATGAGAATAAAATGGCAATTTGAATTAAATCTCATTTGTTTAATCACATACAACTATTTCGGAGGACATTAATAAATATTAGCAATATCCATATCATTAAATGCCAGATATTAATATTCATCGAGTTACTGGATTACCTAAGCTATCAGTCGCTTCAGGAGTCGAGCTAATAGAGCGGCGAAGTCGGGAGAGATTCGCCGGCATTACATCCTTTCGAACTCTCAATTCATGATCAGCTACGCAGTGGCCGCGATTTAGACTGAATACGTAATAAATTTAAAGAATAATGACAATAGTTTAACTGAGCGAAGCAGAAGTAAGTAATGCCACGAGCACAAAAGTCTGGTTAAAGTAATTGATTAGAAACACAATCAGGATGTAAGAAGTCGATTTATGTAGGCCGTACTGGATCAGAAGGAGCTGTTTCCAAACATGTGATAAATTTTAGGACTTGTGAATGAATTCTGGAAGGCAGTGAAAGCGAACGAAAATCTCAAGTATTCAAAAAAAAAAAAACAGTAGTGCGAAATTCACAACACAAACTTAATTAATATTAGTAATTAAATTTTATCCGCGGATAAAAATCTCAATCACGCTAATACTATTTTACTGTTAACTACTCAATTGCTCGTAGCCTCTTTCTATTACAATATGTTTATCATCCATCTTTATTATCTCCGTACTCCGCATTACACAACTCAGTGTTCGTTGAATTCCATTTACACGCACGGTGATTTTCATCATTCATGAAGTGCCTCAAGTACTGCGTGTGTAAGTTATTTTGATAAGGAACAAAGACACCTTCGACCTTCAGCGCTTCGAGGTTCGTCATTGGTAAAAATACAAGGTAACGTCTTTTTAACACGAGAACAAACGATAAAAAACTGCCGTCGAGAACGAAAAAGAAGCTCTAATAAACTCTCGGAAGCAATCATGAAGCATGTTTCTCCTGCGTAACAGTTATTTAAGAATCCAGGCAGGTAGGCAGACAGACAGGCAGGCAGTCTTCGGACTTAAAAAGAAATAAAAGTAATTTATCTCTGCCTAGACCCGTGTCCTAATCAGGATCAGCTAACGTAACCTATAACTATACCACATTTCGCTCGATAATCCTGCAGAGCCACTTCTATCCGAGCGCTTTGCATAACAACTGACTTAAATGTTCTCAATTCAATCAGATATTTATGAATTTCTTATTCAGCATAGATTTTCTTTAATTTTTCATCTTTCTTAGATAAGACATGTAAAGAGGAAATTTAGGAATTTAGTTTAAGTTTTTAAATTTGACCTTCGTTACTCGAGTGTGAACTTATCATTAACTATTAAAATAAGTTTAGCAGGGAACGTGTTTGATCGGATCAAACTGGTTCCCTTGTTCAATCTTCATTTACTAATTTTTATTAAAGTTTGTGGTTGTTTACGTTAATAAGTTTGTTGTTGTTTTATTATCCTAAAAGTGACCTTTTATAATTTCCTATTTTAAACCACAGTGTCAATCATAAGTATCCTACAGGAAATGTAGGTTGCCACATAGCCGTGCGATGCACTGATATGAGGAGGACAATATACAAAATGCGATGCTTGTTTCTCTGGAAAAAAACTAAATTTATTTGCTAGAGTCATATGCATTTTATCATTCTAGTTGAATAGCCGTCGCTAAGTTTCTATTTATCTGTATTCAAACTTAAATAAATCACTCTTTTAAATTTCACTTCGCTGATGTAAATTCATGTGTATTTAATTTCCTATGTTCGTTTTTTATTCCGTCATTATAATATTGTGGTACCTCATTATTATTGCACAGTCGTTCTTTCATAGAATACTGTTATACAATCCGTATTCTAATATAGGAACAGCGGAGTCACTAGTCAGCTATGTTCATTAGGCCGCATATATCACGTCGCCGATTCATGATGCAGCAGAAATCTCGCCGCTTGTTGGGCTGTTAACACGCAACTCACTGCACTTATTATGCTGAGCTTAACTGCCCGGCCACCTGGTCTATTTTAACCAGAACTCTCACAGGTAACTAGGATCAAACCCACAACTCACTGCTCCATTCCTGGCACTCTGATCTTGAACCAATCGACCACCCGGCCGACCCTCTCGGTCACTGATCTATTGGTTTCTTTCACGCTGCCATATAATGTAATAAGTTCATAGTTTCATAATATGCAGACTCGATTCAGTTTGGATGTCTTGCCTTATTATTTGTACTGCATAACAATATTTTATATCATTCTCTTTCCCTATATTGTAGTGCTCTGAAATTAAAACAAAAACAACCTATAGGACAAAGATCCAAGTTGGCATCGAAATTAGGAAGTTTGATAGCATCTTTCTAAATTTAATGGGCAGCATTATGATCAAATCAACAAAATATTCATTAATTTGCAGCAGGGTGCAGCTACACTAAGCTTATTACGTTATACGGTCCTGCTTTTCAGACCCATATTCTTAGACGTGCCGCCATGACAGACGCGCTTTAGGTTGATATACTTCATGAATGGATCAAAATATTTTCTCCACAGCCAATTTTCTTCTTTTGATAAAGCTTTTCTCAATTGATTTTTACATTTTCAATTCCCACTCTGCATGATTCATTACTTCCTGTAAGCGGGCCTCCTTATTGAGGTCTGAAGAAAACAACTTGAGCTACAGTATTGCGGCTCACTCAGCCGTGTGTTTAAATTTTCTTCAACAAAGCCGCATACAAAATGCAATAGTTGACTTCCAGATTTCTTCCATTTTCAGCGTGCTTGGAATTTGAGAATTTTGAACCGCATTTATTACAGTTCCTATCCTGACATGAAATTGCTCTTTTAGAGCTTGAGTACGAATGTTTTCGTTCCAAAAGATATTCAATTTGATATTATTGAGAACGATCACTGCTTGCATAATTAATTGGTCAGGGTCCCAGCGGTTAGATCGTTCATTATTTGAACTTTCGAACTATTATTTTTGCAGTTGTCATTTTTGTGATATTATTTTCATTTTAAATGTATTTTCGGGAGGAAGGAAGGGAATTACGAACTTTTCGATGATACAATTTTTTTTCCTTCGCAAATTTAGCAGCTCAGCGAATATCGGAAGCGACTAAGACAGAAACGCTTATTCTCAATTTATTTTCGTTTACACGCTCCTCTTTGTTGATAATTTTTACGTGTGCTTGCTCTTCAATTTCTTTGTATATAAGATATTAACTCTTCGTCAAATTCATCTTGAATGTCGAGAAATTTTTTCGGGCATAATGTCAGTGTCGAAGACCGTAAGAAAAAAAGATATTAGTTACGACCTCGCAGCTGATATTTTCAGCAGGGCTTTAATAAGGAAATCTTGGGTTTAAAGTCATATTATTTGATTAATATGAATGGTTGCAGTTTCGTGCAAAAATAACACATTCGGAATCATTTGATCCGGTTTTCAAGTATTGAAATAATGCAATGATCCGCACTGAAATATGTATCCATCAACCGGTTATTAACCATTATCGTGCATAGGCACGGATAATTTTTACCAAACGATGCATTTGTTTGCGGGGTTCATTTTCGATCCAAGTGGACATTGGAATTCAGAAGAGAACTCGGCCATGTTGCTCATGGGCCCGATGACGCGGAACTGGTGTGGCGAGTGAGGGTCGACCAATATCTGTAGAGTAGCAGAGGGCAATGCTTGTTAAAATCCGGAAACGATGTATATCAATGTGCATTTTAACACGAATGAAAAATATTCAATGTTTACAGAAAGCGAATCAATTTTTGTAGGATACGATCTCCATCAATGTGCATTTTAACACCACATTCAACGTTTCCAGAATCCGAATCAATGTTTGTCGATGTTAATCAGAATCAATGATTTTAATTTCCATAGAAATCGATGATATATCATAGAAAAGTAATTAATTGAATCTAAATTCAATAACATAAAATATTAATTTCGGAGTTACCGATCTGATTTTCGGAGTTACCGCTCTGTTTCAAGATGAAATATTAATTTAGTAAACGTAACCTAAAATAAATTATATGTATATTATTCTCCATCATATTATCCCTAATTCAAATGACACAATTCGTCACTCACGTAAGCCCAGAACGGAGCGCCCATCTGCACAGCCGAGCCATCGCTCCACTGCCAGACGTGCGTAGCAGTTGAATTGGTCGCGCCTAACCAGTAGCCGCTCTTCGTGTTTGATGAGTCTGATGGAAAATTCGTTTAACGATTTAGACTTTAACGAGTCAAACTTCCATACAAATTCTGTATTACGTTTTACTACTCATTGCACAGCGAGCGCGAGTTGAACACAATGTTCTGTGAAAGTAAACCATAGATAAATAGGCAACACATAGAGTTAGTCCCCTCGCACTCGAGCTCTGAAGAGTTCAGTTTCTTAATTTTGTTTGTGACTGATGTTACCTTTGTGCTCCGTTGTTCCCTGAAGACTCGATTCCACTTCCAAACGAAGTAATAAGCTAATTATAGTCTTATAACTTGTTATTTCTATTTAAACACTGCGTTTACACTTGAGAAATTTTCCACTTTCCTCTCAATGACAGTTCAATGAAACCTCGCATTAAGAGTTATCGTGTTTTTATAACCTTACATCCATCGTTGACAAAAGTGGCGACGTCAGTGAAGGCGGCCACGTCATGGAGGACGGGTAGCCTGCCGAAGCGCTGAAGGCAGTAGGCGACCGCCTGGTCGTACGAGAGTTTGGCACCATGCTGGAGGTGGATGCACTTGGACCCAACGACCTCGTAGCCAGTGGGACACTCGGCCGTCGCTGTGCCTACAATTGTATTTATGTTGCAGCGAGTGAATCAATTATTAGATTGAGAATTGTGGAGAAATATTCTACATCGTAGAAGAAAAATTATGCAAATGAGAGTTAAAACAATCAATAATGGCAATTGTAATAATTTCGAAAGCACAATCACGTGCCGCTTTATTTAGACGCAAAATCATGTTATATGATAGATACTCTTTTTTTCTTTCAAATTTAGGAGAAAGTCAACAAGGAAGTTGATTTGGCTCTGCCAATTGAACTGCCGTTGTCTCGAGCCAAAGCCTTTAATGACTGGAGTCTTTATCAACTTTAATGTCTCAACATTATCACGTTGTTGTACTAGATTTTATCCTGTTATTGTAGGAGATGTATATCTAGTTCTTGTAAGCAAGTTTTGTTAAAGACCAGAGAATTAGTTTTATTTATTAGCTTCTTGTTAGTTTTTTCAATAAGTCGTACTAAATTCTTCGTAGGTGTTGGAAGATTGAAAATCAAATTACCGATAG